TTTTTTTTTTTTTTTTTTTGATACTTTTTTTTTTTTTGTTGTGTTAAATGAGAGGAAGTTGGTTTTACGCTTACTATTTGCATTTTTATGGAAGGCCGCGTGGAAATTGAGCCATTTAATGAGCTCTGAAGTTGCTCCAGCTTTTGGCCAAGAGAGATACGGCATTGGATATGCTACGATTTAATGCGCATATAAAGATTGTACCACAGATTCGAGTTCAACATTTTGATGGCCCATCTACTCAGGGCAGCGGCAACTGTAGCTGTCTACTTTGGGCTGAACAGACCGTAACGCGCTTTTCTCACTTAACGCGAAGGACGAACTGAAATATTGCACAATTTAATGGGAAATTAATAAACCAAAAACAGCTGCTAAGCCATAAACCAAACTAACTGAGCTGCTATGGCGCCAAGGCGGCTCAAACCTTCTAATCTTAGCCCCCAAATGCGACCTAAATAAACAAAAACAAACAAACAAGCCCCCACATGCACACCCACACACCGAGTCAGAGAGAATGGGAAGGGGTAGAGATAGACAGAGAGGAAGAGAGACAGATGACACTCAGAGATAAAGCTAAAGATACAGCTCGAAAATGTACAGATAGAAATCCAAGGTCGCGTACCCGCTGATAAACTCGTGTTGGGGCCAGCACAACCGCAAAGGAGACTCAGACGCAGAGGCAAAAACAAACCAAAGACAAAACATGCTGCACACAGTCAAAGGAATAAACCAAGCAAATAATCCTTTGGCTTAAATAACAACAACAAGAAATGGCAAAAGCTGGCATATAGCAGAAAAAAAGAGCTCAACTTGTGTGTAATGAATAGGAAATACCCTAGGAATACCCTACATCCCTCATATCAGTCTGTTGTCTATGCTTGTCTATTAAACAATTATATTTTATTTGAATACGTACGCCTAGTCTGATCTTCAAGTAGAGAACATCGACCAATTCTCTGTCTGACTTATCATACCCTATGCGAAGTTAAGGAAAAACTTAAACGATAGAATGTTTGACAAAAAATGGCTTCACTAACTTGAAGAGGCTGTTAGGGGCGTGGCAAAAATTGCGGCAAGTCGCTCAGCCGTGGCAAACTTTGAACTCTTCTGCCATTTTTTATCCTTCATATGGCGTATACTTGATTTTCTTTTTTGTTTGTTGGTGCGATTTTAAAGGATGCGTGCCAAGGCAGTTTTGTACACGGCCGCCGCATTGTCCTTTTGCTTATCGCGATGCACGTGACGAACGATGGGGCGTGGCACGCTGCTGGCCTCAATGGCGGTTGGCGGCTGGCGGCATTCTGAACTTTCTTAGCGTCTTTGTGATTTTGATTTCGCCTCATCATTCACTCTCACTCTTTGACTCTCGCCTGTGGCCGTTTTAGCTTTTATTTTCATTTCAGTTTTGTGCTTTTGCTTTGTTTTGTTTTTGGGCTGTCTCTTGTTGCGTATCCTTTGGCATTAATTTGGCAAAGTGTTGTCCTTGTTGGCGGCTTGCGATCTCAGCCGGCGATAAGCGAGCTAATTTCGTGTAATGAAATAAATTAAAATGCGCCCTTGTGAAAATAAACAAATTGGCTTGCTAATGCGACATTGCGTATACGCCGCGCTGTACCAGTGAAAGGACAAACGAGACATTTCAATCGAAAATGGCGCTTGAATCGAATCGACTGGCGACAAAAAGGATTTTGCAACAATTTACAAAATGAAATCAAAGCGCGCACCAGAAATTGCTGCTGGAATCCTATTTGAATAGCATTGGATAAGAGATTTAAATATTCAAAGCATTCGTTACGACAGCTTTAAGTTTTAAGGCTAACAAGAAGAACTCAAATAAAACTCACACACACACAGGCAGGACCATACACACAAGCACACGCACTTCTTAGTGTTGTATATGCGCTTATATGCAAACAATTTGTTCATATTGAATTTGGCCTTGGCTGTCGCATGTTTTATATCGTACGCTCTCCCCATTGGCTTGGCAACATGCACTGAGCGAAATTAAGGGCAATGCGTATTTAAAGTAATTTTAGAATGTCCAATGATATTCGATTTCAGCTGCTTGCTCAGGGCTGAAAACTTCGGTCCTTAGTTTAGAAAATCTAATGTATAGCTGAAAATACAGCAGTAAGTAAAAATTCATATTACTAGAATTTAATTTATTTAAATATTTAAATTTGCTTTCTGTTATGGTTAATATATGCCAAATTCAAGATTCAAATTGAGATTTGGTTATATTTTTGCTATTTGTCGACTTCAACCATATCGAAACCTCAGTTGATTTCAGTTCGCTTTCTTCGCTCAGTGTATTTACTGCAGGCCGTTCACTGCGCTCCGCTTTAGCATTTGCTAATTCGATGCCAAACTATAAATTTGTTAGCTTTGCCACATATGAGAGCGTTTATTTCAATATGTGGGCGTTTTGCTATTCAAAACTTTGCCCCTTCTACGTAAGTGTGTGTGTATGTGTGTGCGTGTGTCCATGTTTGTTTAGGCCAAAGCTTAGCATATGGCAACTGACATGAACGGACGGACCAGCTGTGTGTGTGTGTGTGTGTGTGTGTGTGTGTGTCCTGGGGCCAATCTGTGTACGTGGCTCTTGGCTCGCTTTGAATCTCATCTGTGACACTCGTTAAACTTGTCGCCATTTAGTTAAATCAACTAAACCAAATTCAACTGTGCACACACACACACATACACGGCCACTCACACGCACGCAGGACTCGGCTGCCCTTTGCTGGTCATGTAGGCTCACGTACATTGTACCGGATGCAGAGCGGAAGTCGTGCATATCTCAAAAGCCCACTCTGCAGGACACCGCACCGTACCGAATCGCCCCGCCCACCACTCGCCTCGCACCGCCTCTGGTCACACTTGAGCTAACGTGACTTTACATTGCGCTCATTTTTATCAGCATAATTTAGTTGTGGGCAGCATTCCACTGTGCGGCACTCGGTTGCATTAGCTGTGCCCACGCCCACATTTGAAGCTCTAATTAAGCTGCTGCCGGGCACTTGAATTATTTAAGTGGAGCACGCAAAACCAAACAAAAATAAATAAAAAATATATACTTATTTCTATATATATGTATATGTGTATGTGAAATCATAATAAAGTGTTTCACATGCGCATTTCTCTAATTCGCATCCGCTCTGTGGGTGGGTGGTTGTACTTAGTGGCTGCACCACTCGACGCGCAATCAGCGTTCCGTAAGTTTTTATTTTTGAAGTAGTGAATCATTTTTTTTTCCATACGGCTGAGGTAGTTGGCGAAAAACTGCAGCAAAGTGCGGCCATCGCCTATGGCCAAGTGCAGTTGGCCAAGAGAAAGTGCATAATTCACAAAGATTACAGGTGGCAATGGTGGTGCGCGGTGGTTGGGCCTGCACTTGAACCCTGTTGCGCCGCTGGCTCATAAAAGTTAACGTGCCGCAAAAGTTGGCTAATCAATTTAGTCTTGGGTGTTGATAATGGCCATCATCTTGCTGGCTCCGCAGCGCCTTTGTCCCGACTTGGCCCCAGGTCTCGCGCGACTCTAGTCGTATCCATCGCTATGCTGTCATCCGTACGCAGAATAGCTGCAATAACAATTGCTTTGCTGCATACGCAACAATGCAGAATTCAAGCTGCCAGCCACTTTGCATCTCTCACTAAAGCCTAGCGATGAGCGATAGTTCGTGCTTGCTTGCGGATCTGAAATGAGAGTAGTGCTCCCATTTGGGGCATTTGATTATATTTGATTATAAATAAGTTTTGTTTGAATGATTCAAATATGAATTCATTTCATGTTAAAAATAGTGTAAGGATTTTTAGAACATTTTTGCTTTTTTTCTTTTCTTATCTTTTCTTATCTTTTCATACATTGTTTCATAACAAACCTTTTGGTGTTTGTTGAGCTCGAAACTTATGGCGTCTCCTCTCTCAGTGCTGCCAGAGAGTTAGTAAAACACAGCTGTCCTTTTGTGGCTTCAATTTCAATGTTAGACTATTTCTGTTAACTTCTGACCTTACATTAATGGAGAGCATGATGAGAGTGAGAGGAGAGCTTGCTAATAAACCCGCTCTTCCAAATGTATTAGAAATTTATGTAAGATAATTTTAATCATTAAAATATCCCTTATCAAATTCAACATGAATGCAGAGTGGTTATTTATTTTCCAATGAGGTATTGAATCAATCAATATAAACTTTGTTTATATCTGAATATATCTTCCGACTCCCTGCAAGTGTGAAATATTACATATACATAGAACCCTCTCGTGTTCGATTTCGTGCTCTTCTTTTGAAATCACGCTCTCAACTCTCGTGATGGATGCTGTTGTTGGTCGACGGTCGCTTTTATGGCTCAGACAAACTCTGGCCACGCCTTATTTAATGCTTTTGCCCGTGGCCAAATCTTTGCAACTGGCTCTGGCTCAGGCACCAGCTCCGGCCGTGACTTTGACTTCGGCACGTTGGCTCGTTTTTGGTCTGGCTTTATAGCCAGGTTTTTCAGCCGCAACGACAACGTCAACGTTGGTTTTGGCCAACTTGCGCTCAAACCCAAAACTGCGCGGCTCAGCCGCTTTTCGCGTAATTAAAAAGTGCGGCGAGCGTTTTACTCAGCCCCAGCCCCAGCCTCAATCTCAGTTCTTGCTAGTTGCCAGCGCCCAATGGTCTGCCCCAGCTGGGCATTCGCTTCACTTCACAGCTTTGTTGGCTGCTGTGGGGCTTGGCTGGCCGAATCCCCCACACCGCACACCCCCCAGCGTCTGCTGTGATCCGATTTTGCTGCGCTTTGAGTTTTAGACCGAGCATAAGAGGTTTCAACTCATCTGATTTAAACGTGCTACGTCTCCTCCCCCATCTCCCCTCCACCTCTCCACTTACCACGCTTTCGCTTGACGCGTAATTTGCGTTGAGTACGAGGCGAAGAAAAAAATGCATATTTCAAATTAATTAACGCTAATGAAAATGTTTAAAACTTGCAAGTTGCAGTTGTAGTCAAAAAGAAACGACTGCCCTCTCTCTCTCTCTCTCTCTCTCTCTCTCACTCTCTTTCTCTCTATCTGTCCCTCTCTCACTCTCTTTCTCTCCCTCTTTCTAACTATTGGTATCTCCCCATCTCATGGGCTCTCTGTTTGCCGTGCTGTTTGCCGACTCACTTCTAGTTTTTGTGGAAACTTTTAGAAAACTCAACTAAATCAGCAAATTTGCCAGCACCACGAGAAGATAATTTGCAATCCTTTGCTTTCGTTCGATACCCTGTAAAGCAAGGGTATAGCAAAGAGTCAACAGATTCTGGTTCAATTTAAAATAATTAAAAAATAATAAAATAATTAAATAAAGTTTGCAGTTAGTTGAGTGAGTTTGAATTGATTGTACATATTTCTAGGATATCTGCTTGTCGGCCACTGCCGTAGTTGAGCACGCCTATTTGCCTATTTTTAGTCGTCGTCTCTGTCACACACACTGGCGTTGATTTCCGCTTTTCGCTGGGCCTTCCTTTGCCTGCCGCACAAACAAAGGCGCCAGCTGCCAAACTTATTTGCCTAGCACAAACTGTTGCACAAACGCCGCACAATGTAATTTCAATCAATTTTATGGCACATTTATTTGCCAAGCACCTGAGCCGAGTCGAGCTGCCTGCCCCTGGTGCACCTGGCCTGGCCGCCTTTTGGCCCACTGCGAAATGCTGACTGGCCCTGTAAATTACTTGGCCAAGTGCATTTTCATTGCATTGCATAGAAAATTTCATAATAAATTATGAGAAACTTGTTTCACTTCCATTGTTTCCGATGCGCAACAAAAGCAGCTTTGCGCCCAACTTTTCCATCTCAGGGCATTTTGCTTTTGTTTTCCCACGACTCACTCCTATTGGTATTATGCATTGGAGCAAAACTTCCTATTGAATTTATAACATGACTATGTCATATTTTACATACATATATACAGGCAGAGTTACATATGTACATGCAGAGGCATGCATACATGCTGACCAGGGCTGCATGCGTTGGATATAAAATGCATAACTTTTGCAGATTGAATTATGAAACATATATGAATATTATTTTCTTATCACAATTGCAAAAGTTAAGAAAAGGTTACGACAATATGATATCTTTTATATATATCTTTTTACAACATATATTGAAACACTTATTGATCTGAGGCGAGGTTTGGCTTGCATTATGTCCAAAGAGGACCACAGATTATTTATTGGCCAGTAAAAAATAAAAGTAAAATTTATATTAAGATCAATATTTGTTTTGATTTAGGCTTTATTTTAGCTTAGCTGATTAATAAAAATACTATTAAAAATTTCGTTCTTGAAATTTTCTGCTTCAAAATTAGTCTGCAGCCATGAAATCTAAACGGCAATCTATCGAGTATGTGCATATCTCCAGCAGCTCTGGTAAACAAAAGGCGTTCATTGGCGACTGTTCTTCATAATTGAGTTTCATCTTGGTATATTGTGCAATATTTACAAATATCGTATGAAGTTTTATTGAAAGCTCGAAAAATGTAATTAAATGCAGCTGCTGCTCGAGTTTTGGCCTTAGCTTTCTTTTGATATGTGACTGGCATTTATTGAATGGTTTTAACTTTATTCAAAATAAAAAATATATCATAAAAATTAAAAAAATTTTTACTTATAATATATATCACTTTTTTATGATTTGTACAACTTTATTGAAGCAGAACTCATTTTTGTTTTCAACATCCTCTTTAGGGTTTGCTCTTCGGATCACCCCTGCATTAATGTTTATTAAGTTAGCTATAGTCCTCAAAGAAATATAAATATTTGTATTGTAGTTCCATTTCCAATTCGCTTTCAATTCAATCGATGTTGCTAACGAGTCTGCTAAAAGGCTGTTCCAGAATCATATTGATGGCCCGAGGCAGTTGTCTCAGTGTGCCAACCGTTATTGATATATGTAGTATTTGGGTAAGCCTTTCGCATCGGCCTGTCATGCTGTCTGGACATAACTTTTGGTACTGCAAACTCAAAACTATGACAAATAGCTGGAAGCGAGAAGCACAAATAGCATACACATCGTCGCATGCAAGTGCCGAGCGCTGCTGCCCTCAAAGGACATGGCCAAGGATGTGAATGCGGAGACAGCAATGCTGGATGCTGAACCCAACATATGTGCGCTATACGGCGACATTGCCGCCTTTCACATGTCGTGTTGCATGGCCAGTTTGCAGTCTGTTGCAAGCAACTCCCCACCTGCCCTTGGCCATTGTTGCCTCCAACTGCGACTCTGACTTCGACTCCTCCGGCTCCTGCTGCTGCTGTTGTTTACTGCCGCATTTGACGTCTGTGGTGACATTTGAAGTGGCGCCCTTGGTGCAAGCGGCCAAATAAATGCCAGCAGCCTTATGGCTCAGTGTGCTCAGCAGCCACTGGCGTTGGTCCTTTCTGCTTTATGGCTGTGCTGCTTGCCACTTGATTGTTGCCTGGGCACGACATTTAAATGGCTCAGCCAAATGCATAATCATGTAATTGTGCTGCAGCTGCACCTGTGCCGCTGGCACCTGCGCTGGTCGCCGCCTTTGCCTCAATTCCCAGCGGCAGCGGCAAGCATTACGCATACGCCGCGTTGGCCGGGATTTTAGCAACGTGCTTTCTTTTTCCTACTTTTTGGCTGGCTTGTGTCCCATTTGATTTAATGCGGCGCTTAGTAACCGACAATTGTGCACAACACTTTGTTGGCATTCTTTTTGCCCTCGCCTGACACTTAACTGTGAAAAATTGTGAATTATTATGGCAGCACTTGGACGCCAGGCACCCTCAGTCCCCCTCAGCCCCAGCAACGTAGCCCTCACCAGTTTATGGCTGCGATTTGTTACGCACCATTGGGCTTGGTAGCCCACAAAAGCTGCGTCAACAATACAACAAGAGAAGCGGCAGCATAAATAGTAGCAGCGGCAGCGGCAGCAGCAGCTGCAGGACAAACAGGACTTTGCAGGCTCTGGCCAAGCAAAAGCGCTACGCTGGCAGTGGGCCCAGGTAAACAAACAATTCAAAGTCATTTGTGTGACTTGAGCTGCGTAGGTGGGCAAGCTGTTCAGCTCAGCCCAGTTCAGCTCGACTCCGCTGAGGTCCTGCGCCGGCGACAGTCAAGTGTTGAAGGAAAAAAGGAAGCAAATGTCAGAGCTCTACACGCTGCTATGTAGGTGATTATGACACTAAAGAGGGGCACGATCCGTCTTTGCCTTTGGCTTGTGTGGCAGCAAAAGGTGTCAAGAACACTTTACGCATTCGCTTAGCGCGACAGCGTGTCTTGAGCATACCCTGTGAGGGTGCTGAAGAAGGGGTATTCCGAAAAGAAGATTTGCATAAAACAAATGCCTGAGGCTAACAACATAAAGTCTAGTCATATAGGATATTATATAGTCGAGCATGCGAAATGCAAGCAATTTATACACTTAGTTTTCAGTTGCTGCAAAGAGTGTGTGGCTTTTTGCTTTATGCTCAGTTTAAAGGATTTGTTAGGTTAGTTAGAGAAAAAATATGATAAGTACCTGAGGATTGGAAACCCAAAGCAGAGTTTAGGTTCAGAACGGGACTTTTTCGTTGACAGCGCTGATAGAAAACAGGAAATAATTTAATTAGGACTTAAGATTTGAAGCTTGTTAAAAAGTGAATGTATCCTTTAGACAACAATAAATAAATAAACAAATATATATTTATATTAGTTGCATGCTGCTAAGCATCTGAGTTTGTTCGACTTTAAGTAGCTGCGCCACTTGAAGTATGTTTTCATTTGTAAATTGAATATATCTTAAAGCACTTAAAGCTCAGCTTGACTACATTAGAATTTGGTAAACGTATCCTGTCCCGTAAACTTTTAACCCGAAAACATTCTTTGCTCCTGCATTTTGCACCTTTGCTCATGAAATGTGTTTACCTAAGTGAACGGCAGCGAGAGCTCGAGTGCAAGAGAAAGAGAAAGAGGAAACGAGTTAAAGTCACCTACGTCTTGGCATCCATTCGTTCTGCCTAGGCGCCGGCTGGGCCAAGATGTTGGCTTTGGCAAACAAAAAATCTCATTAATCCATTTAGTAAATGCGAAGCAAAAAAAAACAGAAAAAAAGTTCAAAGCGCCTGTTCGCTGTTGCAGAATCTGAGCTACAACTGTGCAAGTGTGTGTGTGTTCGTGTGAGAGAGTGTGCAAGTGTGCATATACTGTTTGTCGACACTGTAAAAGAAATCCTTTTGGGAGCACTAATGAGTTTGACATTGTTTTCTACTAACAAGGCAGCAAAGTTAGGGCAGGCCCAAAGCAGCCGCCAGGTGGGACACCCCGCATCCCAGCCACCCGGCCCCCCAGCCAGCCAGCCAGGCAGCCAGCCGGCTAGCTCTCTGCACCACCTGCTCCTGACGACATTTGCCTTGGCATCCTTTGGCAGTTCTATTACGATTTCAACAGATGCCAGCCAGCTGCTGTCCCAGACCTAATCTTAAGCTTTAATGATTTTTCTGCTTTTATTTTTGAATTTCTGGCTTTTTTTTGCATTAATTGAAAACGTTTCATAATAGCAAGCGCTTGGGGATTTAAAGAAAAAATCATGATCAATCAGAGACGTGCTCCAAATGTGGGTTTAAGCTGAAAGCGAGAAAGCTAATTCTTAAATCAAGCTATTTTTAGGAGCCTATATTTAGGATTATTATACATATTACATTACTTTAAATTAAATTTAAAAAAGTCATATATGAAATAATGAAATAAGTAAATGCGTCTTAAAAGATTTATTGCAATAGACTTATAGCAGGGTTAGATCTAATTTAGGCTTATCTGTCTTATATTAACTGAGCTAATTCTTTTGTAGAGATCAGATTATGCAGCTAGATTTTTTTTTAGCATCCATTCCAAATTTGGCTTAGGCCGTAGTCAATAAGTACTTCAAGTTGCAGAGCTTTTAATAATTTCTTGACGAACTATGATTTTCTTTGACTTCATGTTTCGGACTTCGAGCATAACTAATTAACTAATGCATTAATGCCTTGGCAAGTGAAGAGAAGGAAGGCAAGCTAGTTTCTCGTGGGGACCGTGTTG